AACCAAAATTGGTTCGCATCACGTTTTCGAAAACATAAAAAAGGCATAAAAGGCAAACTAACTTACCATTAAAATTTCAAAGCCGGAAATGTCGTTTATCGAGGCATCGACTGCAGCGTTTCTAACGAAATATACGGAAACTCTTATTATTATACAATTACGGGAATTTACTCGAACCTATACCTATAATAATCTACAATCAGACAGGAAATTTCTTCAAACGCTCTTCAAGAGTAGCAAATAATAATATTAAATCATCAATTTTAGTAGCTCTAGACAGGTACACTAGACAACTTATCTCTTTTTTAAAAGAAATTCAGTTTAGCACTATTACTGAATTCATTTAAACCGGCAATGATAAATTTCGAATGGATATCAACTATATTTTTACGTAACACGTGGCTGCTCAAGACGCCATATTCACCAAATTATTGAATTTGGAAAATAATGAAAATTCGAACCGTAGATAGATTGATATATGAAATTTCTTTCTAATCGCGAAGCGAATATATTTAAAGTCTACTTAAACTAGAACAACCTATAATGAGTAAAACGGGATTTTAGATTCTTACTAACCTTAGGATTTCATTATAACAGTCTTTTCGACATTTATTAAAACGGATGTTTCACGACCATGATCTCCACCTCCTGGTTATAAGTCGCTTTGTTATATTCGATTTATATATTCTGGAGCCTTTGCGTATCCGTGCATTCAGTGATGCACATTTTCACTTTTTCCATGAAACAATGTTTAAGTCATATTAAAATTATAATTTCATATTAAAATCTATGACTAATGCTAGGTGCTTTATCGTGCGTCCGACTCCAACTCGAGTTTAGTATTAAATGCCACAATTTGCCTTCCGCCACGCGCAAGTAAATTCTTTGCACATTATAGATTTTCATGGCTGAGAAGCCTACACGTTTTTTCTATACAGGAAGTTATAGCATAGAGTTACCATTTTACTATGAGAAATCGAAGAGTTTTGGTTTTAAGTGCAAGAAGCGATAGGGTTGCCGGTTTTTTTATTATTAACAAATAGTTTTATGAATTTACTAACTAATCATCACATTCGCTCATGGCTAGAGTAGGCGTTTATATTAAACATTTTTCAAAAAATAAGATCTCAAATGAGGTTATAATTGTTTATATACATATATATATTTACAAATATATAAATACAATATATACAACTTATAAGTTGAGGTAGCTTTAGATTTTATTGTGTAATGGTGTTAAACTATGGGATGGGACTTCAGCTTTATCTTTTTACGAGATTTCGCAGGAAATGGCGAATCACTCGTATAAAATGAAAAGAAGAAAACTCACTCTTCACCTTATGCGATTAAAACATTTTATTTTATATTCTAAATTTTTTTGTAAAGAATGAAGAACAAGCAACAAAGGCGATTTATTTACTAATTTATTTTAATAACATTGTACAAAAATTAAATTTTTATGCATTACAAGAAAAAAAGCTCTGATATCAATATAAACAGATCTGATATCATCTAAACAAAATTGTCAAATCAAAACATTTAAATCATTCTCTGTGCTCCTTATTCTAATGTCATTTCTTCTTTATTCCATTAATCAATCAAAAATTTAATTTGCTTTTACTATAATTTCTTATTGTCATTTTTCACATATTGTTCACATTTATGTTAATTTGTTCAAGTTTACTTCTCAAACTACACGTTATTATTTTTATATGCATAGATTTATTATGTATTTCTCCTTATCAAATAATGTGGTAACGCGGTTTTTCATTGTACGGACCACAAGGGACTTATCAGTCCGAAAAACGGAATAACGCATCATTCTGTTGGGTCCGGGTATTTGTTACCTAACCGGAAAAATGTATTCATGTAATATGAAAAATCAGTGCTTCTGTTTTAAATAAGTATAAAATTGTGCATATTTAAGTTACTTAAATTTATCTCTGAAACACATACTAGTTATTAAGTTTCCTTTGATTTTCGTTCCATTCCAATTGAGGATTTTACTTATAAAACAGGGACAAATGAATATATTTTCATTTTCATGCTTGTATCTTCGACCTGCTTATTTGTCAAGTTGCGTAGTATGAATAAACTACTATACGAAAACATTATGCAAAAGTTAAAGTGTAACATAAAGTTTACGAATTAGCCATGAGGCGGAAGCTTGAAGGAATTCGTTACTTTCTGTTCATAGCGTCATTCGTGGGATTCACAGGAATTGTACTCTATCCAATTGTGATTCGACCGCTATATAACGTTGACGAATATAGTAAGTTTTAAAATTTTTCAAAACCTCTACTAAATTTCATAAAAAATTGAAATTGCAGTACATATATGACAAATTTTGTCGACAGCCTATATTGTAATACTATGAATGAGCAACAATGAAAAATTTTGTAAACTTTGTGCTGAAACTTTGGTATACATTCTAAAAGTAAAATCAGTCTGTTCGTCCGTAGTGTCACAAGATATATTTTGTCTAAGCCTTACAAAGTCTTACGCAGACTTTTTTGTAAACGTATCTCCCCTGTTTATAGCTGAGGACCAATACATACATATATTCAAAAATTGTAAAGGGAGCTAAAAGATAAGAATAGCAGAATGAATGAAAAGAACACAATTATTATAAATTCATTATTTTTGTTTTTTTACAGAGGATCTACGTAAGCGTATTAGTATCGACAAACCTAACAAGTAACCTTTAAAGGGACTTGCTATATAAATTTAAAAAAGATAAATCCGTCTTCAAGATATTCCTAGTGATTGTAGGAATGCGTGAAAAATGCGTTATATTTTTATTTACACCAACTACAAGACCGTTACTTCAAATGCTGTAAGATCCCTAAAACTGGTTTAATCGATAACGGAGCATGTCTTAAAAAAGACTATAGAAAATGCTGCTGCTGCTGTGTCACCAATGTTTAATTATAATATTCGTCTAAGCATAGCTCTCATTTAAATAAAAATGAACATTATTATTTTTCCAATAGTGTGTCCATACTAATGTATTTTTTTGATTTAAATTGCGCTGCTTGCTAATTCTTCATTTTGCTTCCTGCACAAGTCTTCAAAAAATGATTTTCTAATTGTAAGTGGTAAGGATTTCTGTCGCAAAATATAGTTAACATTGCCTTTTGCCGTATAAGTATCATCACCCATTAGCTCACGTAAAGCAATGTTTTTGCTCAGCTGCTTGTCATAAAAATTAATTCCAGCAGTCACAAATTCTGGACCCAAAGCTGAAAGCCTCTTATCTACTTCGGTGTCGGAGGAGATCTGCGTGTAGTCCTTCATGAAGCACCATGAGCCGTACCCAAAAAATCCTAAAATCGTGTACATAACCATTCGGAGCTGCAAATAATGTAATTATATATACATTCAGAACTGTAATCAATATATGTATATAACATAAATAATTGTTCGGCCTACAAGTGGATTCTATTTTTAAATTACGAAGACGAAATATTCACAACGTAAATTCATAACTTCAAATTAAAATAAATATAATTTTTTATTCGGCCAATAAATAACATAATTTCAGATGTGTCACTAATAAATTCTTTAATCAGCTTGTCAATAATTCGCAGTGTAAAGCTATTAACTTGTAATTGCCTAAGAACCTCTTGCAATATGCGAAAAAGTATTGCGTCAATTGCAATGTATAGGTGGCTTGGCAAAACGGACAGTGCTAAACTGAAGCAAAATGCTATGCTGATCAAGAAGACATATTCCAGTTGGGATTTCTATTGTCCAATTTAAATGGATTAAAAAATTTCCTGTAACGTCCCTGGGTTCGGCGAGCTTATGAAATGGCAATGGTTCTGTAGTGTTTGAACTGTTTCAATTGTTACAGCTATTATCTTTTCTTCAGCTGATTAGTGCCACAATTTCAAGTGAAGTGCTGACTTTTTGTAGGAGGCTCATAATTTGTGAAAAACATTTAACACTTACGCTTAAAGGCCTTGCCAGAAGTCCCAAACTAAGATTTAAATAACGTGCAATCGTGTATATCATAATAAAGGAGAAGGTCGGATATATAGAATTAAGAATAACGCCGTGTGCTTGGGCTTGTAGTAGCGCTTTACACAATCCAAATATTTGTTCACCTTCAGTTAGAACAATTGAATGTTTTAAAAGTTTTCCATTTTCCGTATCCCAATTTATATCTTTATTCAGATATTTGATTTGATCCCATTTTACTGATTCAATGGAGTCGTAGTCGTAATTCACAGGTATGCCGATTTTAACTCCAAAGCGCGATTTTGTATATCCTATAAATATTAATTTTAAACTGTGTTATTACATCATATTTGATATCAAAAATACTTAAAATAATAAAAAAACCAGTTGCAATCTGATTCGATTTGATTTGATAGCACGCATAGACGCCATTTTATAAACGGCTATATCTTACTTTTTGCCCGCCACCCGCGTACTCACATTTCCAACATACAAAAGGAAGTTGCTACAAAACTTACAAACTCTTAATCTGTGTCAAATTATGAATCGATCTAAGCATGCAAGAATAAAGAAATTAGCCGTCAAATCAGTTGCATGCAAGTTGGCATTGAAAACGGGTGAAATCGGTCAAAGGAAAGCACTACAATAGTAGAACATAAATTGGCAATGTTCATGTTTGCATAACCAATAAGTTTGTGCGTTTCAGTCAAAACATACAACAGACACAACGATAAAAATTTCCACATATATTCGGCACTACCTAAAAGAAGATCGAAATTTCGCTCTTTTCATGCTTTTTCAGGATAAAGGGGATGGGCGTAAAAAATTACTGCTCAATATAAGTTTTCTATTAGTTCTGTATGATGTCAATTAACAAAACATGCTGAATACTTAGTGGGCAACAGGGTTTTATATGGGAGTAACTTTAATTATGAAAATCGCTTTTATCTCAGGTATGGAATTTTTTGTTTTTTAGAATAGTCTAATTTCGAAATTAATGGCTTTTAAGTCATTTTCTAAAACTTACCGGCATTAAATAAATCGAAACCAAAAACCGAAAACGTTTCAATTGGATAATTATCTTTTTTGATATTTAAAATCTCTTTAGCCCGACGAAATCTCTCATTCACTTTCTCGGAAATTGGAAGTGGCTGCCCATCTCTTAAAGCAAAGGAATGAAACATATATAAAAGTAAACATAGATATGTGGTTAAAGGAATTCCAGGTTTTTAAACAGTTTCGAAATTTGAATAGAGAATTAGAATACATTGGATTTCGTAATTGGAACTTTTAATGTCTGGAGCATTCCACACGTATTCTACAATTTCCAGCTATTTGTTCCCTTAACCTTACCTAACGCATATCTACTCTATTTGTAACACTTACCTATAGCATTGAATAAAGTTTTTATAATAATTTAACCCTATGGTATGTGGTACAAAATTTATGAGCAAGAGCCCAACAGCTGTACTGCCTGCTAAAAAGAAAGTTATTTTTCTTCCATTTGCAGTCGTAAAATAGCCGGATCTTGATTTTTTTAATTTATTTAATGAATAACACATCTTGATTATTTATGTTTAATCACTTATTCAATAGCAGCTTCTTGTTCATACAACAGCTGATGGGACATGCCACAGGATATTATTTTAAAGTAGCATTTATAATAAATTTGCGATAATATTTGCATAAAAAGCAATTAAAAACAAATATTTAAAAAAATTAAAAGTTTTCTTGCATATAAAGATAATAAATATAATTCGTTAAGATACCTAATTTAATTGAAGTTGTTGTTTTTTGTTTGAGTATACTCGCATAATAAAACATTTACATATGGCAACATTACTTGTATTAAAGATCTTGTAATTATACGTAATTATATTAAAATATGAATAAAGCAGGTGACGATCTAATAAGTAATTTTCTCAAACATATCGATAAAATATAATGTATTTATTATTCACTCGAGAGACCCAAGTGCGACATAGTAACAAAGCGATGTAAATATTGCCTGCCGAAGCGAGAATGAAACAAAACCGTTGCGTCGCAATTCAAGTTTGATCGATTAAGGTAAGCTTTCGGTTTTCGCTGCCTGCGTGTTTACTTTCCTTATTTTAATTTTTTATTTTCATCTCCCAGATTATGAGTTCATGTAGTTATCCAAATAGCGCTGACGACTTGCATTTACCAAGTTCCTTAGCACAGGTAACTCTATTGTGAATTGCTTAAAATGTTACTAACATTAAATTATCTTAACGCGAACTGTACGCGAGCTGCTTACATCGAGCAACCGCGTTTATGTTTTTATCTATGCTTTATCTGCTGATTGAGCTGTCCAATATTTCTTGCAATTATATTCAAATTAAGACGCAGGATATCTTTAAATCCTTCAATGTCTGTTGAAAACAGAAATATTTTGAGCGCATTGCGTGTTGCTTTGTAGCCCCGATTTGTCATGGGGAAAGAGATTCCTAGTACTTAGATGCACTTGATACAGTTGTACCAATAATTCCGTGCGAATGTCGGCGGGAACATTGATATATTATACAAATTTTTCATTGATTTTTTATCAATTTTTCCCGCCCCTCATTGATTTTGGAAGGTTTATTATTTCAATAAACAAGTTCTTGAACGATCAGCAAGTATATGTGGCCTTAATTTCCTGACCGAGGATTCTTGCATATTGCTAGCAGGCACCATTGTTCCTCCGTGATGCGCGACAAAACTCTAGTCGGACGAGTTTTAAAAGTAGTTTAAAAGTAAACCCAAAAATTTACATATTCCTAAAGATTACCTTTACTTGAATCGAAATACGAAAAAAAAAATCAAAGACCAAAAGTAAAATTAAATATTCGTATTAAATCGAAATTATTTTGACAATCAATAAAATACGGTTTAATTTTCCCCCCCCCCCCTAACATAACATATTACTTGGCTGCTTACATACAAAACTTTTTTTAAATTAATTTTTCCCTGTTTACAGATTTCGATAGATAAAATTGATGAAGCTGTTATAAAAGGAGACGATAAAAATTTGGCATTATTACTAAAAAAAGAGAAGCTATGGTCACGAGTAATTTTTAAAAGCGGAACAACTCCGTTACATTTGGCTGCAGCAAAGGGTTTGTAACTTTTGCAATACTATAAAGCAACTAATGAAGAATATTCCTTAAAGGTTACAGTCGCTGCTTGATAATACTTTGCGAAAGTGCGAATCAGATCCAGCTTAAAGTGATAATTAATTTTCAAAATAACGATGGCCTTTCGGCACTGCATTTAACGTCGCAGTATGGTCACAATCAGTGTTCCAGAGAGCTTTTGCTAAGAGGAGCTAATTCAAATTTATGTAACAACGTAAGTATATATCGGAAACTATGAAAATTAAGTGGATTTAGTTATTCTTGTTATTAACTTAACTAAAAAAAAAAATTAATAAAACTTTCATAGAATATCAGATTTTAATTTATTATGGAATGACATTATAAATTAGTCTTGCTTTTAGGAAAGCTGTAAGTCTTACAATTAAGATTAAAACAACTGTGAAGAGGAAGGATTTCATATGCTATTAGTAAACAAAATCAAACTTTTTGTGCTTTTAGTACGGCGACACTTCCTTGCACACTGCATGTCGTTACGGCCATGCCGGAGTAGCTCGAATATTAATCTCGGCGGCATGCAATGTTAATATACAAAATAAAAATGGCGACACCCCACTTCACATAGCTTGCGCTATGGGTCGACGGAAATTGACGCGAATTGTGATGGAAGCCTTCCCGAATGTCGAGATAAGAAATTCACAAGGTGATACACCTTTCGATATTGTCAAAAGAAAAAATTTTACCGAAATTATGACAATCTTTAATGCATTTAAAACAAAGCCACGGACTGAAAACGATGTGCTTAACACCAAATTTGAATTTTCACCTTACGGTTGTCAAAATGTTTTAGAAACGCGATCAATATTTTTGACGAACGTTGAACAACTGTCCAATGTAAAATTGAATAAAGGTGAAGAGTATTACATTGATCTTGCTGGAAATTTAAAAAAAGGTCCAAAATGCGTCACGAACACATGTGTTTGCAAACAATTGTTAAACAAATAATAGCTAATAATAAAATAACATTGAAATTAATGAATTCCAGAATAAATCTTGTATTTTTGATGGGAAATATGAGAAATTGTATCAGCTTTTGCACCCACGTCCTTGTTTTCTACTTATTGTGATTTAGGTTGGAATTGTACAAAATTGAAAAGCTTACTAGATTTAGTGTATAAGCTACTGCGGCCTTTCGCATCGAGAAATTAGAGTTTTAAATCTCATCATCTAAATCATAGGTTTCTTCAGGGAAGTCACCAACGGTTACCAACATCGGCGAAACGAAACCACCGTAATTATCAGGACAAGAAAAATAACGCTTTCCATCAACTCTGGAAAATAATTTAATTTTTTCAATCTTTTTTTTAGCTCTTTAAACTTTGCAACTCACGATCCATCATTTTTCCCTAAAGGCTCGTCGTATTTAACACCAATAAAGATACCGCTTTTGCCTTCGAGTTCCCCATTGTACATAATTGTACCTCGACGTTTCGGTTGTCCTTTCGCAGTCACCTGAATAAAATAAAAGTAAATAAGTTATAATCTGCAATCGTCTTGGGTCAACTGAATATATAAAAAACGGGAAAACGTTTTGCAAAATATAAAGGCATTAACTATTCGATCACTACAAATTTTAAATTGGTCTTTTATTTGCTTTCTCTATATTATACTCTCTAGTTGAAGCTAGCAAATTATTGTTTCTCCTTATCGCGTATATAACCTTTTTTTAAAATTGAGAGAATGTTTTAAAAAACTATATGTTGACGAAGATAGCATTCCTTGACAAGATATTCGAGACAGCGGGTCTTTCAAAAGGAGACAAAAATGAAGAACGTCCTTAAAATTTAAAGCAAACGTGTTTACACTGAGAAACAATTTTAATGCACATTGTAAATAGGCAGTGTCAGTACATTCACACATGTTCTAGACGCGCCCAGGATATAAATATTTACCTCACATCTCGATCCAATTGGGCAGAGCTTCGCTTTTGCTTTTTCTAAACGAAATTTCTCAAGTCGTTTTTCCTCTTCCACCTTGAACTCTTCTTCGTTATATTTCCCCAAGCGATTTTTCCGCAAAAAATTTCGTAACGTATTATCCATTTGTTCATATTGATCTTCGCTTAATTGAAATTTTTCCACTTCTTGTAAATCTATATTAGAAATGAAGTCATCTTTCACATGAAAATGCATCCCTGGATCAATTGGCAATGAGCCTAACATAATGGTGTCATCATTGAGCACAGCAGTTAATTGTTCTCCTTTGTGCAATTCAACCTGCATTGAACCGGCATTACCGCCTGTAATAATCTGAAGTCTATTCTACAAATAAACGATTACTACATGAGTTTAATTGAGCGCATCATCCTTAGTTCGTTACCTTAAGCTCTGCAACCGTCATTGATTTTGCAAACTTTATATCAAATGCGACATTACCGTTTTGTGAATTTGTTACGTTAATTTTCAGAAAATCTGACCCGGAAGATATGCAATCTCCTCCAGACATTTTGGATTAGATTTTGGATTAATTCAAAATTATCGATTAAATCGAATGCAGTTAATCTGTTTCAGCAATTAATTCAATTAATTAATGATAAAAGTAATGAAAGATAAATATTTTGTTTTTGAAAGGAAAAAGTTACTAATCACAGCTTACAAACGCCTTTAAACTTTTTTCTGAAGAGTAAAAAAAAAGGACTGAAAAAAATCTAGAAAAATGTTAAGATTTATTTTTGTGTTCTCTCTACTTCTTCCTTCCCTTTTCAGACATGAGTAATCAAAGAAAGCCCCTCTCCAAAAATTTTGTCAAAGCGATGAGAGTGAATATAATTCTTCATGTTTATATTTATTCATCCATAACCAAAAACAAAAACATTTTTTACTTTTTTGATGACATCTGGCAGTTCCGTTCAGTCAAAAACAGCCAAATACATCATATAAGTAGGCGATTGTCGACGTATGTCGACGTAATTATCGTCTTGTTTTTTTACGATGCCAACTACTTGTCATCAAATTTTAAGTCTTTTTTTTTTTTTTTTTTGGCTTATTATAGACATTTGGAGTGAGGGCTTGCACTTAGAGGCCTGTATCGACCATAACATGAAGCAGAAATCTTAGCTTGAAAATATATTGTTGGCCAGCAGTTTTCCGTTTAAGTATGCGCCGCACGGCGTCAGGTAAAATTATATAAATTATATGCAGTGCAGTTTATTTTTACATGCTTGGGGAGGTTGTGAGTAAGTTCAAGAAAGACTAGCGTAGGTAGATAGGAAAAAGAAACCAGGGAAAAAAATTTGGCAGTCTTGATGAAAGCACACAGTTCTTTAGGATGAATACAATTGTGTGCACAAAAGATATCATATAAGTTTTTGTACATGCCGAAAAAATTAAAGATCGGTCTAATATTGTCCCATCTTTTGTACTTAAAGACGAAATGTTTAGGTGATTCAGCTGTCGAACATATGCGGCAAGAGTCATAGTTAACAGCTCGTATCAGCTTCTGACTACACAAGGTTTTTAAAGCTGATAAGCATAAGGACATATTGGCCGAGGCGAACGCTAGAATGAGAGATCTACAAAACAGTTCATACTCTCAGGGTTCTAGACGAGAGAGACATTTGATTTTTCGAATACATGCCTCAATTTGCAATGAAAGAATGTATAGATGTATGGGTCCTCTTCGGTTAAGGCTGCAACTTTTCTGTACCTCCAATTTGATCAGCCCTTTAGCAGTAAGTGACAGAGAACGACCTGACTTTGTCATATTTGATGCTGTTGCAACTAGTGGAAGAGGGCTTGCTGAGACTGCAGAACCGTTGAGAAGTCCTTATGCGAACATGGAGCAACACTGTCAAAACATTGATATAGAATATCAGTGATCTCAGGGACAATGGTTACCTTGGACAAATTATTGATCAGACGTCGGCGCAGATATCACAGCTGTCGATTCTGATGAGCTTCTGATGGCTTTAGCCTACATAAGCAAATTATCAAATTGCCTCTTATTTCTTACGTTTTTCTTATTTATTAATGCATTGCAATGGAAAATTTGACGGGAAATGCTGGAAAGTTGGCTACAATAGTACATGATTAGTCGCTTGGCGACAATCAACTGTACCCAAAAAGAAAACAAGGCGATAATCACGACAGCAGCTGCCTGCTTACATGATTGTCTCTCTCGATTTAAGGGCGGCAAGCGGTGATCCATCATTTTGGTTTGGGTATTTTGCTGTAAGTTTCTTTGATGTAAGGCTATGTCAGCACAATTTCGCGCTCCGGAGTGCAATCCACGTTTTTGGTTAAATTCACATTTGAATGTTTTGTGTGCAAAAGAAAAATTCATGCTGACTCAAAACACCTGATTTTGAACATATGGTACGTGGTTGAAATGATTGAAATATTGTTCGTTCATTAATTTAAGAGCAGCTGTTACCTTCGAACAAAGCATACAAAGCATATTAAGTTTAAAATGTCATCACCTACTCAAGAAATTGGTAGAAATTTTTATAAATTTTTTATATTTTCTATTAAATTTAAAACCTCAATTTGTTTTTTTATATATTACAGAACTTTTAGAACGCGTTCTATTGCGCTTGGGTTGTGCAAACACAGACGAGAAACTAGAGGCATGTGTAGGACGTTTTTTGACACCAGTGATTTTGAAAATCATATCGCCACACGAAAATGTCCGCAACAAGGTGAATAAATTATTTAATAATATTAAAATATTGCTCTATGAATATATATTATAATTTTTAGGTCGTGGAAGTTCTGACTCATATCAAACGTCGGATTACATCTAGACCTCAAATACAAATACCGGTAGAAGCATTAATCGATCAATATCAAGCAAACTCTAATACACCCTTTTTACAAAATTTTGCTATAATATTTATAACGACGGGCTATCCTCGTTTAACGCTTGAGCAACGTAGTTCTCTAGCTGCTAAAGTAGTAAGCTGTGAAGAAAAATTGGAAAACTATCAGGATAAGTAAGAGATCTTTAGTTCTCATAATTTGACTTTTTTATGTTAATCAGAATAAGTAAGAGATCTTTGTTGTCTGCAATTTAGGCTTTTTATGTTGGTGTTAGTAGATTTGGGAGACTTGCTTTTACCTGACGATCCCGAGGAACGCAAGAATTTTTTAAAACTGGACAATAAACCAGCTTTAAAGCGCAACTTCTTACACTTATTGCAAGATGTATTACTGTTGCCCTACGGTGTTACTCAAGATCGGGATGTTCCGGCGGGTTTAAGCCCGTATGCCTTTAAGCGTCTTATGATTAATAAATGGAAGGCAGAAGATTTAGAAAAGGTTTACTTTTTAAAGAAGAAAATGAAGATTAGCTTTTTGAAATTTTATTTCTTGCAGATCAAAAAAGGTATAGTGCGCTTTATCTGTGCGGGAATATTCACAGATAAAGAGATCTTCATATTATTGATAGTGGCTTCCGCTGATACCCGCTTCAGTGTAGCAACTCCAGCTTTGGCTGAGCTCAGCAAGGTCTGCACGATGATAGATTTTACAGATCACATCGTAACTATGCCGTTGTACATCTTATTCTCTGGTAACAATGCTGCTCAGTTAGAGCGTAAAACTACACCTTGTTGTGCCAGAGTTGGCCAAAAGTTATTAATATATCTAATCAGATGCCGCGGTAAAGCCATCAATGCCGCCAAGGGCATACAAGTGATATTTGAAGGTTTATTTGGTGAAAATACTAATCAGAAGTGCAAGGTCTTATCTTTACAATTTGCCGAAATCTTGATAAAGGAGTAAGTTTTAAAAAACATAAATCTATTTAATAAAATTGTTTTTCCTTGTAGAGGGCCCGCGGATATTATTAATAAAGTATCGAAAGTCTTATTAACCGGTTTTAATAAATTGATTGATAAGGAATCTGCTGAGCCCACAGACGTACAAAGCGCTGCATATTCGGCTTTAGCTCAATTATCTCGCACTTGTCCTAACGTCATTAATCAGGATTTGAAAATTGTTTTGGCTTATTTTCAACACTTGACTAATTCTACACCAGATCTCCACAGCTCGATTAGAGAAGCTTTGGTAGCTATGGCGCCAGCATTTGTCTGGAAGCCGGACAAGAACCAGATTGGAAAATCCAAGGAAGATTTCCAACTTAGCGGACAACAGCATTTACTTATGGCTATGCTAGCAGACAACGCCGAATCCAAATTGCATATTGTACAAAATGTAACTAGTATTTTCTTGACAACCTGTTTCCCAGAATACTTTGCACCGGCCAGATATTTGTTGCTCTTAATAGCTGGAGAAAGGTTATTATTGGAAATCTTAAACAATGAGTTGATATTTAAATAGATTTTTTGTACTTAGGAATTCCTTAAGAGAAAATGTTACTTCATATTTATATGGTGTCTCGAGAAAGGACCATATCAACTACAATACGCTAATATCTGCAGATCATTATGAGGAACAAACTATGGAGGAGTTAAAAAAAACTCGTAATGAAGAAAAAATTGTGATTTTGCCCAGTTTCCAAGCTGTGATGCGGCATGTCAATGATATGGCACAAAAGAGATTAAGTAAACTTGTGAATTGTGTTGTAGTTGGTCGTACCGATTTGGCGTATCCGTTGGATACCTACGAAGAGGTAAATGAGATAACGATAGAAAAAATGTGTTGCTCTAATATATTTCTTCTTTACTGCTTTGCCAGATACTAGATTATTTACGCTTATGCTTGTGGTATTCTGCCGGTGCCGTCTGTGCTCCCGGTGATGTAAAATACCTTAACAAGCTTAAACGCTACATTATCAGTAACTACGAAGAATCAGATAATAATGAATTATATCAATACGTACAATTTGTTAAACGCAGTGTGGAAGCCAAAAGATGTATTATCTCTTCTTCTTATTTTTTTTATTCATAAAGTTTAGTTTGAATTCCCTTTGTTTTCTTGCAGGCGAATCAAATCTTTTGTGCTTACATGATTTACTAAACGCTGCTCCGGAATTGTTGGCCTCTTCGTTGCTTTATCTTCTAGAACCTTTGAATAATTCGTTGAAAGATGTCGCGGAAATAATGCGTATACAAGTAGCTCAAGTTGTAGGCATATTATGGGCTTACGGACTCGATGATCGGGAATTTGACGCTAATGTTAAAGAATGCTTGGAGGCTTTACCACAACGTTCATTGGAACATAAGCATGGTTGGCTGTTAGTTCTTGGCCATGCCTTGAGTAAAAAAATAAGATATCTCATCATACAACGTCAAACAAAGAATTTCGCTGAATGGCAAAATTTTGTAGACGCTGTGAAAGTTATGGGTAAGGTTCTGAATACAGTAATTTTTTGTGAAGCTCATTATTAGGAAGTATTTTTTCCATTAAACTCAGCTAAAATGTTATGCGAGAATCAGTGGCTTTTAGTGTTAGCAGCCGTCAAATGTTTTTCCATGCTAGGCAAATGCGTGCAGATACCAAATGTAAACGTGGAGATTACTATACCTAAGGAGGAAGAAGCTGATGATGATGAAGAAATGAAGGAGTGTAACAGTAATTTTTTAAATTAATTTGATATCAAAATAAATTTCTCAATACATTTTTTTTCAGCTCAAACTACTTCCACAAAACTAATCATATTTGGAGTAGTATTTAATCTGTTGCGAAGCACTAGCGTACGTTTGAAGATACGAGAAGAAGCCGCAAAGTGTTTAGGGAATTTAGCCATAGGAGATGGCGACTATTTCACCCAGAGGAATCTCGATAGGTTTTTATCAATAGTTAAGGTGCCTAAAGATGCTGCGCTTAATATAGGTGGGTGTGGGGCATTTAATGGTGGACCGAGTCTTGCATTAGGCTTCTTACTTCTTTTGTGCATCATATATGTAAGCAAATTGCTTATTTTATTTTTATAATATAGCCATAGCGGATGCTTTGTCTTGCACTTTATGTGGTTATGACATCAGTGAAGGACCACCGTGTGAAGAATTCTTCAATCCTTATTGCAGTGATGCAGATTTTGAAAGCTTCCTTAAATCTCTAATACGTCTGGTTAAAGAACCTAACCCTAACGCCAGGCAGGCTTGTTCCGTGTGGCTATTAGCAGTTGTTAAGCATTGCAATTATAGACCGGACATTTTGAATAAGAAACAAATGTTGCAAAGCGCTTTTACAGAGTTGCTTTCGGATGATAGCGGTTAGTTTCAGTAAGAGGTGTAAATTTTAAAAAATTTATCATATTTCTTTTCTCTGCTTCTCTAATTAAAAGAGTTTGTACAAGATGTAGCTTCGCGTGGCTTGAGTTTGGTTTACAATCTTTCTGATGCTTCCAGCCAAAACGAATTGGCCAATTCTTTGCTCAATCAACTAATAGGTGGCAAACGCGCAGTCAATCAAGTAGCCGAGGATACCGAACTTTTCGCTGAAGATATGTTGGGCAAAACTCCTAGCGGGTAGATTGTTCTTTGAAGGAAAAAAAGTAAATAAGAAAATTATTTCTTTTCACTTTATATCTTTTCCAGTGGCAATATAACGACCTACAAGGAACTGTGTTCTTTGGCCTCTGATCTAAATCAACCGGAAATGGTCTATCAATTTATGCAACTGGCTAATCATAATGCAGCTTGGACTAGTAAGTTGGGAGCCGCGTTTGGTTTGAAGTCTTTATCAGATGAATCAAAAGCCAAACTTAAACCTTATTTGGGTAAAATTGTACCTCGTCTGTATCGTTACAAATATGATCCGACACCGAAGATCCAAAACTCGATGATTTCAATATGGGATTCAATAGTAACTGATCCCAAAGATGTGATTGAACAGTATTATTGGCAAATTTTACGCGAAATTCTAGATAATCTGACATTCAACGAGTGGCGTGTACGCATAGCCTGTTGTTTGGCAGTGAGAGATCTGCTAAAACGTCCTAACGGCTTGCGATTACGCAGCGAAGAGAAAAATGTAAAACAGGACGCAATGGATGGAAAGACTTCTGATACAAAAATGGATGTCGGTAAGTAGGGAATGTAAGAGAAAAAATGTACAAAATAACTCGGAAAACTTACCTAAATATAGGAAATTAAGTCTTTATTCATAGGATTGCTCATATTCATTGTTCGTGCGAAATATTTGTACGACAGACTTCAATTTGTGAAATACAAACGTACGATGAATCTAATTTCAGCTGACGGATATTTAATATCGTCCAGAATGTGCTAAGCATTGTAGAAATATGGTGTCCCTTACCAGTCACTTATACACACTTAAGGCCTATTGTTAACTTGGAAAGGTTCTCAATAGTAACGCTTTTGAGCTACGTATTGTCTTTATTTGCAGAATTGTTTAATGTTCGTTCGGGTTACTTAATGTATCTAAATATTGTGCTAAAAAAGGCACTCTAAGTAGTGCAATAACAACAATAATTACCCTTATATAACCTTATATTTATTGTTAATATTAAGTGTTAATTAATGTTAATTATTAATAATAAAAAAATCGCTAATCCATCACCTATATAATTTATTAACAAACAAAAAACAAAATTTTGTCAATTTCTAGACGAAGTACCCGAGCCTGAACTTAAGGAGCTCTGGTCGCAATTATTCCGAGTAATGGATGATATCCACGAAGGTACACGCCTGGCTGCATCCGGAACCGCTGTGTTCTTAAGCAAGGTAATAATTTGAAAAACTGAATTTCATAGAAAAGCGTAGTTTGCGTGCTCAGCGTAATTCAATTTTCTTTGTCAACGATAGCAGTCGATTGAGAGCTCATAACTAAAAACGAAATACAACCAATCTTGTGCTGAGTGTTAGTTAATGAAAAAAACCATAAAAGTTTTAAAAAAAAAAGTTTTCTCAGAACGTTTAGAGTTAGCTGACAAAGCAGCCTACCAATGTTCTTCAACATATTAGCCTTTTTAATATTCACAATGTTTGACATTCAAGTTATATATTATTATTATATTCTAGTTATGCGTGGTTGCTGCCTCAGCAGATCATGGTGGAAAATCCGGCACGGCGGTCGCTGCGTCCGTATTACCATTACTTCTTGAGACTGGTGTTGGTCATGTTGTGGCTGAAATTCGCAAAATTAGTATTAAAACCATTTCGGAAATGATTGATTCTTCGGGCGCTTTAATAACACCGCATTTGCCTTCGTTGGTGCCGTGTTTATTAAAAGCCACCGGCGAGGTAGAATCCGCCAAGCTTTCGTATTTGTCAGCACGTTTGGCCGTAGACCACGATGCTCAAGAATCGGTAGACTCTCTTAGAGCAGAAGCTGCCAAAACTCATCACACTACTGAAACTACAGCCAAGGTATATAAAAACAAAAAATAGAAAAACCACAAATTCACGTTTCTTTAATATTATTTTATAGTGCGTACGCTTCATTGATTATCAGGCATTGGAGAAGATGACGCCAGCCATTTTAGATCTTTGCAAGACGAGTGTTAATTTGGGCACAAAAATATCCTGCGCTCATTTTATATGTCTAGTAGGTAATAACAAGTGTTTAAGGAGATTAATCTTTCTTATGTTATAATTAAATAGATAAGCATACGACTAGGCAAAGAGATGACGCCTTTGGTAGGCAAATACCTCGGTGTTTGTTTTATTGGTCTCAAGGATCGTAATACTACGGTACGCAAGTATTATGCCAGCGCTATAGGACATTTATTCGGTATAGCGAAAGTATGTTGGAGAAGACATTTTTTACTCATTTACTCATCCCGCTTTACTCTTTTAGGAGCAATCTATTAAAAACCTTTTCGTTAAGCTTGATGAGCTCTATATGGAAAGCAATGTTCAACGTTCAGTTGCTTTGGTAATTCAGTCTATTAATAAACGTCATCACGAATTGATCAAAGATTATTTGGAAAATGTTGTTGCTTTGATTTTCTTCGCTATGCACGAGGAGCAAAATGAAGAAAATAAATCTAATATAGAGCTGTGGCGAGATTTATGGCAAGAAATCACTCCCGGAGACGCTAGTATACGTTTAAATCTTAGCGTTATTATACCGAAATTGGAAAATGCTCTAAACGATGCCAGCTGGTCGCGAAAAACTCAAGCGGCAAATGCTGTTCAAACCATAGCTGCGCGTTTAGATAACACGTTACCAGAAAATGAACGTCTACGTTTAATTAATGTTCTCTTGACAAGCTTACATGGTCGCACGTTTCAGGGCAAGGAAAGGCTACTGCAAGCCTTGGCTACCCTTTGCAAAGGATTGGATCGTAAAAATGAAGCTTGCGAACATATCGTTGAAGCAGCTATGAAAGAATGTCGTAAAGAAGAACCGCAATACCGCAGCATGGCTTTGAAAAGTCTGGGTGATATACTCGAAGAACTGGAAGTCGACCGTTTTGAGGAAGTTTATAACATGACTTGGCATTTGTTGGTAAAAAAACCACAACGTCAATCGTCCGATTCAGATGATAATAATGACGATTTCGGTAACGATAAAGATCTTACAACCGACGAGCGTAATAAACGTTTAAATATCGTAAATAAACTCAAAGAAGTTATATTTGAAACCTTAGGTAAATCGTGGCCCAAAAATTCTGTGCAAACTCAATTTAAATACCAGCAACGATTTGCCGAAAGTTGCTCTCAATGCCTCAAAGATAACATACGCTCCGTTCAAGTTAGTTTGATGATAGCTTTGACTAAATTTCTGGAACGTTTGCATGTTTGGAATAATGATAATTCGTTAAAAATTGAAGAGAGTCCTGGCAATAAAGAAAAAAAAATTAAAGTAGATCAACAGTTGGAGCGTGATTCAGTAATAGAGACGATTTTGCAACACGTCTTATCTGCAGTCACCTATGCTGCTGGTAAGAAAAAGACATAACGTAATAATAATATTATCATAAGACGAAATTTTTGTATCTCTATATTGCTAGGAATACCTCATACTGGTTTAAGAAAGGAAGCGTTAAATATAATTTTGGTTCTCATTAAGCATCTCAGTGGGGTCAAACACTTAGCTATTGTTCGAGAGAATTTTGAGGAAAATCTTAGCAAATTTCAAAAGGATTCAGCGCCAGAAATACGCTGCCGGCTTAAAGATATTGAAGAAAAATTCACTAAATGCGGTTTACATACTCAAGATTAATTGGTAAAAATTTAATTTATGTGATTCTATGATGTTTTATATAAGCAACGCGAAAATGAATTTAAATAAATTGTCCACATACTTAGGTGGCATAAATGTATTTTATCACCATTTCGACTTCTTCCTGGATTTGGATTTAAAAACAATTTTTTTTTTTTAATAATTGTAACATTGAAATAGAACGAACGACCAAATTGGGCAAGAGGGATATCCATACCAATTTTCAATTCTTACAAAACGCAAATATCTACTTGCATTCTTTTTCTTTTTAGTTTGGTTGGCGACCATAAAGCTGTAATTGCAAGGGTATTCAACAAACCGCTTTTTTGCCAGAACAACCTTCATTGATGAATGTTAGGCTGATAGGGATATTGAGGTATTGCGGCTTTTGAGGCAATGTTGTGCGCGGTTTGATACGTTCAAAAATATATAAAACGCTTCATTAATTATTTGAATTTTTTTTTAGAAGCAGAATTGTACATCTTATGAGATGTTACTTCAGTACTTATGAGATATTACTTCAATAAATTAAATGAAACCGATCATTTCAGTTTATTTCAAAAACATAGTCAATTTGTTGAAATATGCAATGGCCTCAAGTAGTAGTAGAATAATTAGTGAATCAAATTGTGTGAAAAAATCATATCTGCTTCAAAAAGAGTCGAATCTAGAACAACGGAAGGGCAGAATTATGGGCGCACCACGTCCATCCCTCCCAATCGACTACCAATGCGCCGATTGGGGGACTTGATAACCATTGGGTCAAGGTCAACTGCTTGGTACTCCGGTTTATTAGAAATTTAATTGAAAACTGACAAGTTTTATTTGTTGTGGCGTACATACATACAATCCCATACGATTCATCAATTTCCACAAACTGACCGAGAGTAGATATAGGGCTGCAGATTCCGGAAATGTCTGCTTATTCTGTTTCACATTCTCTATGGATATAAATAATGATCAACTTTTACTTCTATTATTTTATTACTTTTAATATTCATACTCTCCTCATTTGTCTTACGCATTTTCGGTTGATAGCGAAGCAATCTGCGTACATTTAATCGCTCTATATTCTTATGTCCTCGTTTCTCGTTTTGCACAATGGTTTAACGGGATTGTGCTTCTTTCGGAAAATAATCGCGTGTTATGCTGTTATTTAATGAATGTTGGGTAATTACTTGATTGGACTTCTTGTGAGCTGGTCTTGATTTCCTTACTCGCGTGAATCGATTGGTGACTGATGTGCAGTGTTTTATTAAATCCTAAATTTGCGAGTTAGGAATACGTGTCTGAAGTGTGAGTAATGATGGGCCTCCATTTTCATTTTGCTATATATGAGCTCTTATGGCACGGGAGAAGCCAAAAACTTGTGAACTAATGTAAGCATGACGAATAGCTAAGGTGCGCCCGTCCTTCTGCTCGGTATATTCGACAATTTCATCAACTTTCTGTAAGAAAAATTTGTTATTCCCCGGTTTACAATGCTTTGAAGCGAAGTGAAAAACATACCATAATTTTTTTCATGCCAATGTTTCGCGTGAATGTGGTTAAAGTTTTGTTCTTCGGATCCAAAATAGAATCTTCAATTATTTTAATTGGAGTATTTTTATAAAAACGTTCACCCCATTTAGGCACATGATTAGTTTTAGAGAGTAAGGTTTTCTTTGAGGTTTAAAATAAGAACAAGGACATATGCGGCGCATCGCACAGACTCGTTCAGTTTGGTGTCATAGCCGTCTAGGTAAGTACCCACAGACAATTTGACAAGTTGACCGTTACAAAGAGTTTTTTTTTGACTTTACGGATAGGGGATGTGCTGGTTCAGCTTTTTAATCGCCATCCCTGAAGGACTTACAGGACAACTGACCTAACGGATAGGGAATGTGCTGGTTCAGCTTTTTAATCGCCATCCCTGAAGGACTTTCAAGACAACTGACCTAACGGATAGGGGATGTGCTGGTTCAGCTTTTTAATCGCCATCCCTGAAGGATTTTTAGGACAACTGACTTAACTGATGGGGGATATGCTGGTTCATCTTTTTAATCGCCATCCAGGGATGAACCAAGGCAGCTATGACACTGGCAGTTCGTTATTGTAGTACAAGTGATTGAATAATCCCAATATCTTCGGGTGACAACGATAATTTTGGTTTAAATGGAACTGAAGGAAACGATCATAATTTCTTCTTTCATCTAACGAGTAACACTTCCTTTCCAGCAAACGTTCCATCAGGGATTTACTCAAGCCAAGCTCCGTAGCACCTGCAGATTTAAAAACAGTCCCTAACTGCTTGTGATTACCCGAGAGTATTATTTCGCATTTCGGTGACTTAACGTCCATTATGCCATTTGCCGGTGCACTATTTGAGAAGAGTCTCAGTGGAAGATTCAGTTGGTTTCGGTAAAATAAATTGCGGTTAATGTTTTTGCATATTACAGACGCGATGTATCGCAAGCAGAATTCGATGAAGATGTTACAAGTACGTGGGTAGAGGGACGCCTAATAAACAACTGCAAAATAGTCTCTACTACAGTTGTAGTCTTAACGGTACCAGAAGACTGCAACTCTATGGCCGCAATTACGTCAACGAGCGCAAAAGGAACACGTATGCTTACAAAATGGTCCCCGTCTTCGCTGTAAGAGGCCTGGTGACGGCTTTTAATATGGTCATGAGCGTCCACACGTGGAAATTTAGATGCAAGAGTACTGCAAGACAATCTCAACCTGGCACAGGAGATTGGATTAGACATGCGAGCAGTCGTTTGTGACAGGAACCTGGCCGATAAGGAAGCGGTACACTTATTACCCGCTGGAGTGTTACTGATCTACGATTATACACACAGCCTCAAAAGGTACAAAGAAACAATTGAAAGAAGCAAACATAAATACGACTTTACAATAACTTCAAAATTTTACAAAAATTTCGACCCCACTACTCCACTACTCCAGTCTAGGTGCAGGGAGGCGCTATTTAAGCGGTCGCAGCACCGCGCTACACAACTGATCTAATCAACGACGGGATATCAGGTTTGCTGCAAGCGGCGATTAATGAAGAACTGTTCAGAAACGACCCCGAGATTGTCAATCAGACCTGCGAGATCTTCAGGATGCTGTCAAAATTCATCAATTTATTTCATCGGAGCTCCGTATCAAAGCAAAAGTGGAAGAAGCTCAAAGACGAACTCCAGCAAATTAGCGAGTATTTCGTGAAAGTTTTTAAGAAGGACGCCCTTGCCACAGAAACAACGATTACAAATTTTACCAACTTGATGGAGGATTTGGTGAAGGCTTACCCTGGCACAACTTTCGCCTCATACAGGGTAAGCCAGGACCTTCCTGAAGCGACTTTCGTTAATATGTCTTTGTCAAAAGGGGAAAGGAGCAGATAAGCTGTCGAAATTCTTCAATTGTGCAACCATCTGCGGAACCTGCAGATGTTCCAATATAAAAAAGGACTACAAACAACCGACGATTACCTCCTACGAAACTGAGCAAGAGCCCGAAGAAAAGTAGGCGCCATTCGGGCTCGATGGGGATGTTTACAGACCTGCGTAAACTAGAATTTAAATACCGCGAAAGAAGATACCTGCGATCGCTTACGGCATTCGGAATAGCATAGTACATTCGTGAGCAGTTGAATTGCCGTCACTGCAGGCGTGACATGGCAGAAGAGGAGGACAAGTTTTGAGAGGGGGTGATGGGTCTGAAAGTAGCAAGAAACCGCATAAGTAACTTAACCCTCACCAGCAAATATCTTACACTTACTTACACTAACAAATAACACGTTACGCTGACATTAATAATTTGAAAACATAATCTTAATCTGAAGCCTGCATGCCACAAAGTGGCTCGTAATCCAAATTATTTGGCAATAATGGTATATTTGAACACGCGTCTTCGTCCTCTCAAACGCTTGCATCGAATGGTGCAAATAGCGCCATCAGATATTAATAAACGTTTCGAGAGTACTTCCCTTCATATACCATTCAAGTAACATTTCGGTATCGGCAATATTATTTTAGATGTTCGTAATTTCGTCTCAGCAAAACTGCTAACTCACGGAAGCGCTATTAATCCTGCCCCTTGGGAACCGAAGAAGACGAGGAAACAATTTTGTCAGACTTAAAGAGCAGATCGAAAAACCGTATGATATTGAAAGTCGAATGGCCGTTATATAGTTATATCGTTATATCGTTAACAATCTCAAGGTACGTGCTTAAGCATTGCTCGTCCTTAAACCCAAAGCTCTTATCTTAATATGTTTTATAAGAAAATTTCCATTATGATTTTTTTTTTAAATTTCATTAATAAAATAAATAAATAAATTTGCATCCATTCATATATCTGAGTTTTTATTAAAAAATTCCATACAACAGGATGAAACACGTGCCAACTATAAACAAAAACAGAAACAGAAACACAATAAAAATGTTACAGGGACATATTTTCTGAGCTTTTGTTCATTTTCATCGGAACTCCAGGAGATTTTGTTTACTTTCATCGAAATACTATCAGCTTTTATTAAGATTCACAGAACAAGTTGCAGCTTTTGTTAAGATTCATACAACAAGTTGCAGCTTTTGTGAAAATATGCAACATTTCTTGCACATGCAAATAGATGAAAGGAATTTAAGTGATTTTATTGAAGCCTTTTTTTTAAGAAATAACTTTCTGTCTAAAAGCTTGGGAAGCGGTAACGTATAACCCATAATCATGAGTGTTTTTTAACAAACAAACTTTTTCCTTGCATTTAAATTGATATTCGAAAAATATTTTTATTTATTTTACATATACATAAACTTAAATGTTTAAAGTGAACCGTAATGAAAAAGTAAAGTAATGTTACATGGGTGTATTTATGAATTTCTTACTATTATTCTATTTTAGATTAGATTAAAAATCAAGTCCAGTTCTCCGGTCGCCGCCTCCGCATCATGAAAACGATTTGTTGTCCTCTAATGGTAAGTTAACGTCTATCCTTTTTGTGTTTATCTGTATTTCAGCAAAAAATGTACGTCATCTCGGAGAACTAACTTGTTTTATTA